TCCCTCATCTCTAAGTTCAGCTGCACACCTTTGCTGATATTAGATCCAGCTTCTAGGCTGCACCGATTTCCAGCTGCTTACTTTCTTGTTCTCTACAATGCCCGATGGCACTGACTACTCCTCTGTCTGATCCGACTAAATTAGGGCCCCTTTGTGTGGGTAGTTGTTGTGGGACCCAGTTACTGAGGGACCTCAGGAGAGCTCTTCGGAGCTGCTGTTTCCTGGTTCACGCTGACAAACTTGCTAGCTGTGGCTCAGCTCACTGCTCTACCAGTCCCCTCTTAATTGCCTAGTGCCCAAATCCCCTTTCTTTCCAATAGTGCTTTTTTTAAAAAGTAATTTTCGCTACAGGGCATGTGTGCTCACTGGAGAGAGACACAGAGGGAGAAAAAGAGGGAAGGTGAGTAATCACCTCCGAGGGGGGATAGCCACACTGCAATCCCTTGTCTTCCGTTCTCCTACCAGGATTTTGGCCATGCACACTCACGTGCCTGGCACGTTTTTCAAGTCACTGTGTCTGAGACTCAAACCACCAAGTCGGCCATGTGGGGTCCAACCATGAGTTGGCCCTTCCAGGGGACCCTTACACTTACACTTCCCCACACTCTTGTTTCAAGGTTGATGCCTTTGGGGAGTGCTTCAGCGATCTCTGTTCCTAAGGACCATCATTCCCAAGGCTAACTCATCTTCCTCTGCAGTTGGGGACTAGGATAATGGTCCCTTTCCTGAGAACAGCAGCATCATGGGACAGGGCAGTGGCCTCTGATCTTCTCTGCTTGCATCTTCCAGCATGGAAGCCCCACGCTGAGTGAGCTGGGGCAAGGTCTGTCATCGCCTCTACATTTTCGCTTACCATGCCTGAGGTTGAACACCTACCATGTAAATGCGTGTTGTTGGGGACAGAGCCCCTAACTCTTGCCTGCACCTGTCGAGAGTTCAGCCTCTCTGGAGGCAGAAGGTGAGAAATCCTGGAATTCCAGCAGGTTCATCCCTGTTGGGGAGGGCTGCAGACCTCCTTATGCTGCCATTCCTGAAGGAGACCCACCACCAAGCTTAGAAAGCTCTAGCAACTCCTTTGGTCCATGAAGCTGGTAGGTCATGGGGCCAGACAGTGAAGGTAGGCTGAGATGCTGGTGCTACCCCCTCCAGCCATGCTCCTCGAGCCCAGGAGCAGCTGGTGCCATCAGGTAGGTAACCAGGTAACGGTTACACCACGGGCATAATCAGAGCTCCAGGCAGACTCCAGAGCAACATTCCCCTGACCTCCCTTTCCTTTGAACCGAGCCCCTGGAGACAACATTCGCCAGGAAGTGAGTCTTGCCTCAGACTTGGGGAATGAAGCATAGCCAGGCATTTCCTGCCTGCTGCCCACCACACTATTACGAGTCACCGCACTCCTCTGACCTGCTGTTTGCTCACCTATCACGTGGGCAGTTCACCTAGCCTCGCCCCACCAGGTTGAGGTGGGACTTCAATGATCTGCAAGGTGGGTAACACAGAGCCAGGTACAGGAAGGTGCAGTGCAAGGTCCCCAGCTCCTCGTACGTCCACGGTCCTCTGCACTCGGCAGGTATACACAGCCTGGGTGCCAGGGGAGGCACAGCTGCCACGTGCGCACAGGACTCAAGTTCAACAGACATAGGTTCAAATCCTGCCCCTGCCACACTCCGCCTCTGTGATCAAGGACAAGTCTTTAATGTCTAAAAAGTGTCATTCTCACTAAAAACGTGATGAGACTTAAAAGTTACAAGAAGTAAGTGAGAGAATCCATGTGAGGTGCCTGAAAAGGAGAGTAGATGCTGACAAGGACAGTGACTTTGGAGGTGCTGAGTGACTCTGTCGGCCAGGCCAACTCTTGTAGGGACGAGACTGTATCTTGTCTGGGGTTTTCCCTAAGCACTGCGGGCCTAGGAGGAAGCAGTTATTACCACACCCACCAAAAAGGACAGCCATCACTCACGGACTGTCCACTGCGGGCCAGGTGTTTGAAGAACAGAGAAGTTGTTTTTCTGCACTTACCTTTGCCTCATTTTGCTAGTGGGGCAAATGGGAAATTCAGAGCAGTTAAGAGGCCTTGGGACCAGCAGTTGGAGTAATAGCTATGTCACTGGACTCCCATGTAGTTGACCATGGTTCGAGTCCCGGACCTGGTGGCTTAAACTCATGCCAGGCATGTGTGCGTGCGTGCCTAAGATTCCGAGAGGAGAATGGAGAGGAAGGGATTGTGGTGTGGTCATCCCCCCAGGGGGTGATTTCTCACTTTTTGTCTCTCTCTGTCTTTCTGGTGAGTGCAGAAAAACTACGATGAAAACCTCTCAAAAAAAAAAAAAAAAAGAGAGAGAGAGAGGCCTGCCCCAGGGCAAAAACAACGCTTAGAAGGTTCAT